CCGCTCCTAGGCATCACGAAGAGACTCATCTGGCTCCTGGCGGAAATGAGTAATCTCCCTTTGAATCTCTGTAGTCTTCGATGCCGGATAATACCTGTGCACGAACTTGTTGGCCAGGTCGTCCCACGATGTGACGGATAGTGGGGGCTGGGTCTCTAACCACCTCTTTGCATGCCCCGCCAGAGAATAGGGGAAGAGGTGCAGGCGGATCGCATCACCGGGTACACCATTCATCTTGAACCCATTTGTCAGCTGCAGGAACCGGGAAAGATGCACCCTCGCCTCCTCATCCTTCAAGCCATGGAACTGAATAGAGGATGTAATCACTTGGATCCAACATGGCTTGATCTCAAAATTGTTCGCGGGAATGGGCGGATATAGGATGACAGGGCGGATATCAGCGACCGTGGAGTGTAGTAGTACTCCATGGTAGGACCCGACGGGGGTGGTGGATGATGAGCCCCATCTTCTTGGGGGACTCTGTTGTTGGCCAGGACTTGATTTACGGGGGAACCTGGAGAGGCATCCCCTGGGGCGGGTTGTGTTCACCGTCCATCTCGTACTCGTCCTCAGAATCGCTCCTCTGTAGCCAGTCTTGCTCGCTGTTCTCTCCTACGCTGGCGACAAGTGCGTTCAAGCTCTGGGTCCAACGGTAGTAAGCCTCCTGACTGGCTATGGGTCATGCACTATCTTCACACACCCAAACAAGCAACCCGTGAAGGCACAAGTGGGACAAAGCAAACAAACAATGTGTAAAAAAAAAGCTAAATTAACAGAAACCACGTTTCATCAGCAACCTAGCCGTCCTCAGCAATGGCGCTAAAAACTTGACTCGATTCTACCGTCACACTAGAAAATGGCCAAGTGTAACCACCTACTAGGGCGTAGTATAGCGGGTTTGGGTTTTAATGTCAACCCGGGTCCTAAGTGTGATGACTACTCCGTGAATTCTTATTATTTATCAATGAAAGTGTAGTGAAGGTCCTAAGTGTGATGACTACTCTAGTTCGTCGCTTTCTCTCTCTAGGTATCACTTTATTTCTCTAAAACTCGGAACCCTTCAAATTTTCCCTTCTTTTTTCTTAAGAACCTGCCATTCGCGATCCCCAGTCAGAATCCCCGGTCGGGTATTTTAGGTGCCCGGCCGGGAATTTTTGAAGCGCACCGCGCTGGCAGAGGATTAATCCCCGATCGAGGTCAAGAATACCCGATCAGGGATTTAAGCATTCCGGCTGGGACCCCTCCTGGGATTTCAGCTTTTCCCCGGCCTCTCCTTGCCTTTTACCCGGCCGGTATTTCCACTCCCTTTTACCCGAAACTCGATTCCTCGCCTCCACGTCAATGGCAAATCCTGAAATATGACATAAACACACAACCTAGCGTGAAATCAGCTTAAAACACGAGAATCAACATCTCAAACGGCTCAAGAATGGAGGTAAATATATGTGCAATTAACGGTCTATCAGTTACTAACCTCTATTTGCAAGATGATTTGATGTATGAAGACTGGTTACCTAAGGGGGCCTTTCCGCGGTTGAGACAGGAAGAGATGATAAACCGTCTTTGCCCCTTCTCCATTTTGGACATCCATAGGGCTATCTTCGATATTAAGCTTTTATAGGCTCCCGGTCCTAATGGATACCATATCGTCTTCTACCAGCATATGTGGCAAGTGGTAGGAAGGCACTTACAGACATGGCGCTTGCATTCTTCTCGACGAGGGAGCTTCCAGAGGCCGTTACAGACTCTAATCTGGTGGTTGTTCCTAAAGTGGAGAATCAAGAAAAAGGGACTCAGCTCCGGCCTATCTCCCTTAATAATGTTAGTCTGAAAGCTATTACGAAGGCGATGACGAGCAGATTGAAACCTGTCATAAGGAGTTTAGTTTCGCCTCAGCAGAGCAGTTTCATCCCTGGAAGACAGACTGCGGAGAAAATCATGGTGGTTTTAGGAAGTTTTGCACTCTCACGGAAAGTAGAAAGGGAGGCGGGGGTCTGGTCCTCAAAATTGACCTAGAGAAAGCCTACGTCAGATTGAGATGGGACTTCCTCCGGGATACTCTCAAAGAAGTCGGCTTCCCTAGCTCTTGGATCACCTGCATCATGTACTATGTGGAGCAAAACAGGATGCGGGTCCTCTGGAATGAAGAGCTCTCCCAACCCATATCGACCTCGCGTGGAGTTTGTTAGGGAGATCCTCTTTCCCCTTATCCTTTTGTTCTTTGTATGGAGCGTCTGTCTCATAGGATTGGTGAAGCAGTGGACAATGGAAACGGGTGAGATTGTATGTGAACGGCCCGCCACTAACTCATCATTTCTTTACTGATAATCTCTTATTGTTTTCTGAAACGGAAGCTCATCAAATTGACGTTGTTCGAGATTGCTTGGAAGACTTCTGATACAGCTCTGGACAACAGGATTTCCAAAATTCAATCATGTATGTGTCGCCCAACATCACTCGCAAGAAAGCCTCGAGGCTGAGTCAACGGGCGTGAATTCCTTTGAAGGCTGCACTAGGGAGGTACCTCGGGATCCAAACTATTCAAGAGTGAGTTATCAAAGGGAGATATCAACCCCTTCTCTTGCATATTCAGAAGAGAATGGCACCTTGGAAGGCGAAGCGCGTCCTTCACGGCCCGCCTTACTCTCGTCAATTCGGTTTCAACTTTCCTGCATGTGTACAATATGCAGACGAAACTTATCCCCAGCTCCGTGTGAAAAGCGATTTCCAAGCTCAACAGGGATTTTATCTGGGGAGATGAAGAGGAGAAGGCCAAGATGCATTTAGTCGCATGGGATAAGATGATGCTTCTTAAGCGACAACGAGGAGTGGGTATCCGACCCACTAGACAAGCAAACTTGGCAATGCTTGCCAAAAGTGGTTGGAGACTAATTTATGAAAAGGAGAGCCTTTGGACTCAGATAATGCGTGCTAAATACGGTCGTCAAAGGCAAGGGTTAGATGTGATCCGGCCAATCTAGGGAAATTCCTTCACCTGGGCTAGTATCTCCAAAACGGTTAGTCTTTTAAAGAAAGGATGTGCGTGGAACATCAAGAGCGGTAGAACCACTAATTTTTGGTTGGATTGTTGAGTTTTGCAGGCTCCTCTTTGCGACTTTGATACCGGCAATATTCCGACGGAGATTGTGAGTGCTAAGGTGGAAGAGATGGTTCGAGACGATGTCATTGGGAGAATGGAGCTCTTTGACAACTTCCTCTCGAACGAGATTACCCAAAAGATCCTCAGCATAGCGGTGGACAAGGTAGCCCAGGATGATGATCAATTATTCTGGTCCTGCGGATGGGAAATTTTCCACCAAGTCTGCCTACAACCTGCTTTCCCACCACCAGACAGACGAAGAGGAAAGGACTTGGAAGATAATCTAGCGTCTTCCAACTCCGGAGCGAGTGAGGTGTTTCATGTGGCAGGCCTTCTGAAACAAGCTTGCTACTAATGTTGTTCGGCACCACAGGAGAGTGGTAGAGTCCCCCTGTTGTGCGAGATGTCCATGACAACCGGAATCGGTGCTTCATATCCTACGTGACTGCCCGCCAGCTCTGTTCTTCTGGTCTAGGCAGGTTCCCGCCAAGCAGAAGCTGAGTTCTTCAGTTCCAATCATATGGATTGGCTGCATAATAACCTCAAGAGCAAAGCTACTACATGGACGGGTATTGGGTGGCCGACCTTCTTCAGCACCACCGCCTGGCTACTATGGAAAAACCGCACCACGGCCTCATTTAAAGGCCCGAGTGTGGCGATGACTCCCCAACTTTAGAGCATTCTATTTTGATGCAGACTAAAATCTGGAATTACTCGTGGCTATCTCCAGCCATGCTTCCAGATGGCAGAGGTCGGTTGGCGACCAGAACTGTGGCTAACATTGGTTGGAACCTGCCAGAGGAAGGATGGACTACCCTTAATGTGGATGGCACGTCGAATGGGAACCCGAGTCCGGCTGGGGAGGGGAGTTCTGCGCGATCATACTAGGAGATGGATCAAAGGCTTCGTGGCTAACATCGGGACAGCTACGGCGATGCTCGCGGAGTTGTGGGCCATCCACTATGGCCTTGATTTTGCCTGGAATGAAGGGAACATGACGCTAAATATTGAATCAGACTCGCAATTGGCCATTCAATTGATCGAGAACAGGCATGATCCGATTCATCCTTATGCTACTCTATTATCGGTTATTCGCAGGAAGATTAGTCGTGATTGGTTGGTTCGCATTACTCACACATACATGGAAGAGAATAGAGTCGCAGATTGGCTCTCGAAGCACGGTCTCGTCTATTCCTACGGTATGTATGAGCTTGCAAAGCCCTCCAATCGGATTATCTTTCATTCTTCGGGATGACATGCTAGGAACTACTCTGGAGAGACACATTACTGCTCCTCCTCCCCTGCTTCTGTAATCTCCTCCTGTAACTCCTTGTGTGTTCTCTACGTTAGCCTCCCCCAAAGAAAAAAAGTATTATAGTCATTAAGAATACAATGTTCTTTCATTGATAAAATATTATTATGATTTGAAAAAATAAGTTCGAAATCAGGTTAATGTCATGCAAAATTAAGCACTTTAAATAATTAGAAAAAATTAGGATGCAATTCATTAAAAAAAACTAAAATACACATAGGGGTCATTTGGATCCAGGTTTTTAATTTGTGGGATTTTGGCTCAAATCACTGGTTTAAAGACCCAGGTTTTTAATTTGTGGAATTTTTGTGGAATTTTAGGCAAATCACACGTTTGGAAACATATGTGGCATTTATAAAATGAGAATGCAAGATTACATAATTAACCTTCCCTTTTTATTTGTACAATGGCCCAAATTTGGTCGTTCACTACTGCTATTTCTTTTCCTCGACCACTGCTAGGGTTTCTTCCACCATTATCCATCCTTTCCTTCGCTGCGCTTTGGAGGACAGCAGTTGCCGCCGTTCGTCGATCACAACATCATCGTCGGTAGGGCGTCGTTCTTCATCCGCCATCTCCAAAGCCAACATGCATCCACCACTGTGTGACTGTCCTTTGGAAGCCGTGTTGGAGTTATCTCACTCCACCAGGAACCCAAATAGAGAATTTTACTCATGTCCGCTGAAGAAAATAAAGGTAAACGTTGTTATCCCTCTGAATCCAATGAAATCACGTTTTAGTTAGTTCAATTTAGGGTTGCTATTTCAAATGGGGTCCTGGGATCGAGTAAATTGTAGGCTAGTGGTGGTGGTTGAATCAATTGTGAGATGTTGAATTGCTTCCATTGTAACTTGATGAATTGGTTTGCAGGGGAAGAAAGAATGTGGCTATTTCAAATGGTTTGATGTGCATGCTTTGGAAGTCCGTGAACGGAACCTTGTTAGGGAAGTTGCCAATTTGCGTATGAAACTTGCCGATGTAGAAGAAGAGAACAAGCAACTCCAGCTGCAGTTACGGCATTGTGAAGTTGCTAACCAGCCTTGTTCGTCCAGCATTACTAGAACGAGTGATTCAACTGAAACAAGTATGTTGGAAGCAATTTCGCAGCTGAGTCACATAATGTCTCGCGTTGAAGGGACACTTGGGTTGAGATAGGTTATTCAGAATGTAATCCTGTTTGATCGTGGTTGTTGTGTTAGGATGGTTCTGTTTGTGTGAGTATGTTATGTTAGGATTGCTTGGTTGTTGTGTTAGGATGGTTCTGGGAATGTAAGCTTGTTTGCTCACAACATGTTGTGTGCGCCTGTTTTAATAGGATTGCTTGTGTAAGGATTGAAGCTATTGAAACATGAATGAAATATGCAGAGTTTGTTGAAGCTAGAATGTAACCGCAGACTAATTGAAAACATATACTGTATGTTCTGCAGAATGTGATTGCGGACTGGTTGAAATCATAAAATTGCAGACTAAGATTACATGATTCAACATCAGCATATTCTGCATATGTTTTGATAGTATGCATGTGTGCATAGTGCTTATGTTGAGCTACACAAAATGGCTGGTTATATCTTGCTGCAACACTGGGATAGAAGTGTCAAAATAAGAATGCAAGAGTAGCTTCCAGCTGGTCTAACAAAATGGCTGCTTATATCTTGTTGCAGACAAACTGAAATCATTTCCAGTTGCACAGTTTAGAACATAAAACATCAAATGCAACATAATGTTTTGACAGTAAAACTTCAAGCTAAGAAAAACATTCTGAAATTCATAACAGAAGAGTAAGTAATCCCCAAGAAAGGCTCCATGTCTGAGCCGGGATCACAACAGCCACTACTAATCCCTAAAAAAACCATGTTCGAGTTTATATCACAAAGACCAAGGACTAATAATCCCCAAAAAAGCTTGCATTAAAGCTGGGATTACTAACTCTTCTCCCTACATTCAACCAATTAACCATTTCACGAACATCAGCTTGTCCAAAACATTTTGTATCTTGTAGAACATCATCAAGTGTCGATCATTCATCGATAAGACTGTCACTGCTGCAATGATCTCCTCTCGGTCCAGCCCCCCAAGCTGCTCCAAGCTCTCAAAGAGATTATCTCGCATGCTGATGTGATCATCACTCTCTCCAAGTGCTCTTGCAAGTGTATCCATAGATTGTTTAATAAAAGGGCGAAGATCTCTCATTTCTCCTGTCGCATCGGTGAGGCGTTCTTCAACAGTCGTTCCTTTTTTCTTTTTCTTCTTTGGTGGAGCACCATCTGTTGAAGCTGACATGCTTGCAGGCTGTCTTTTTTCATAAGCTAACTCCGCATTGATTTCCTCAAAAATCCTCTCATTTGCATCTATGTCAGCAATATTTGGTATTTCCTCATCTTCTCCTGATGTTCCATCTAAGCAGATCGGATCATTGGTGTCAACCCCATGATCCCCACTTGCACGACCTTTGCAGAAGACCGGTGTCAGAGCATCATAAACCATGAATGGTTTCTTGTTTAGACCTTCACAGTTAGGGTGTTTCTGCAAGTAATTACCAACCATTAGCTTCACAATTCTTATTTTTTCCCATGAAACTAGTAAACTACCCAAAGTAAATCCATATATATACGAAGTCTTACCAGCTCAAAGTCAGCCCAACGTTCATCTGGACAAATGACACACTAATTAATCTCATCCCAGCCCCATCCACTCTGGTTTCCATGAATGTCATTGCATGCCAGATCTTCTTCCATTTTTTAATCCTACCCTCTACATGAGGCTTGGCTTTCACTCCACAACCCGAGACCTTAGCTTCCATCATTCTCGCAAGCAGACCATACACACCGTTCTTACAAATGCCATCCACTATCAGTCCCTTCTCGAAGCACTCTAAGATACAATCTGCAAATGGCTTATCGAAATGCTCAGGCCAAGAGAAGTACTTTGTGGAGGAAGCACTATTACCTTCTCCGTCATTCAACTTCTTTTTTTCACCATATCTATAAAATAGAGATCAAACATTAGTAGGGACAATAGATTCATCTGCCAAAAGAATAAATCCACTTCTGCCCAAAAGAACACCCAACAACAAAAATAAAAGCAACTAACATATATTTATCTGCCAACAGATTACACAACTCTGGAACAAACAACAATTTAACAAACTACATATTATTTAACTCATAACAAGATAAACAAACAATAGCCAACCACTTAATTGTCTACACATTACATAAATCATAACAATTCAACAACAAAAGAGACTCATGAAGCAATTCTGAAACGTGCAGGCCGAGCATTCCAAATTTCAGAGGCCAAGTCCATCCTAAACTGAGACCAAGCTTTGGTCGGTTGAGTGCCCGAGTTTGCAACTGTATCAACCCCGAAAGATTCATGCTGGTTATGTTCATGTGGCTGGTCTCTATAGGTTCTTTCATACATATCAGCTCCTTCCTCCTTCTTTATGAAATTGTATAAAATACAACATGCTAGAACAATCCGAGAAATCACAGGCACTAAGAACCAACTGACATCCCTCAAAATTCCCCATCGCATTTGCATAATTCCAAAAATCCTCTCTATCACATTCCTAGCCTGAGCATGTCTCCAATTGTAGTACTCTTCCTTGTTTTTTGGCAGCTGCCCCCCCCCCCCCCCATTCATCAATATGGTATCTTGGTCCCCGAATAGGGGTCAAGAACCCAGGGCTGTTGGCATACCCTGAGTCACATAAGTAATAGCACCCTATATGTAAAAAAAATCAGAATTAGCATTTCCTACATATGTGAGAATACTTAATCTATATGCCATGTAGGTTTTTGTTTTTGAAACTATTACCTTCCGGCACAACTAGGCCATTCGGCCTGTTTAATGCATCTCTCAACACCCTCGCATCATGAGCTGACCCTTCCCATCCAGCTAAACAATATACGAACTCTAAATTTGGGGTACAAACACCCAAACAATTAATGGAGAGATGACCAGACCGATCTCGATACTTAGTTTGCTCTTCCTTCAAGGTCGAACGTTAATGTGAGTTCCGTCAAGAGCTCCCAAACAATTCTAAGACAAAGAAGCAAATAATTAAGCTAAACAATACTGCAAATGCTTGTAATGTTATCTTAATGAAAGCCAAAGTGTCCGACATTGAAGTATTTCCATCTGTTATCGGTTGAATCAGCGGGAATGGGTTCGGGTTTCTTCATAAGATGGTTGTTGAGATTTAGAATTTCCCGTAAGACTCGGTGAAACAACCTATAAATGGTCTCAGAAGAGCGGCGAAAATCCACTGCTAAACTAAGCATTTTTGTTGTTATGTGATATAGCCAGTAGAAAGATGAGAACCATTTCATCTACTTCAGCGTTTCGGGTCCTTTTCAGCCCACCATCCGAAACTAAAAGGTCACATAGCTTATTGAATAAACTACGTTTCATCCTAATCTTCTTGTGACTCTCGACATCACTGAATTCGGTACATTTGTCAATCATCCTTTGCCTATCGTACTGACGCATCATGTAACTATCTAAGGGCTGCCTACCAATTCCGGGATTACGAATTAGCATCTCTGTAAGTTCCATCACCTCCATTCCTAAATTGACATAAATCATTACAAGGTTCCAAAATGCACTAATAGCAACAATCACTTTGCGCCTTTCCGTGGCAGACATCGTGGAAAGCCGGGACCAAGCTTTGGTCGGTTGAGTGCCCGAGTTTGCAACTGTATCAACCCCGAAAGATTCATGCTGGTTATGTTCATGTGGCTGGTCTCTATAGGTTCTTTCATACATATCAGCTCCTTCCTCCTTCTTTATGAAATTGTATAAAATACAACATGCTAGAACAATCCGAGAAATCACAGGCACTAAGAACCAACTGACATCCCTCAAAATTCCCCATCGCATTTGCATAATTCCAAAAATCCTCTCTATCACATTCCTAGCCTGAGCATGTCTCCAATTGTAGTACTCTTCCTTGTTTTTTGGCAGCTGCCCCCCCCCCCCCATTCATCAATATGGTATCTTGGTCCCCGAATAGGGGTCAAGAACCCAGGGCTGTTGCCATACCCTGAGTCACATAAGTAATAGCACCCTATATGTAAAAAAAATCAGAATTAGCATTTCCTACATATGTGAGAATACTTAATCTATATGCCATGTAGGTTTTTGTTTTTGAAACTATTACCTTCCGGCACAACTAGGCCATTCGGCCTGTTTAATGCATCTCTCAACACCCTCGCATCATGAGCTGACCCTTCCCATCCAGCTAAACAATATACAAACTCTAAATTTGGGGTACAAACACCCAAACAATTAATGGAGAGATGACCAGACCGATCTCGATACTTAGTTTGCTCTTCCTTCAACGGTCGAACGTTAATGTGAGTTCCGTCAAGAGCTCCCAAACAATTCTAAGACAAAGAAGCAAATAATTAAGCTAAACAATACTGCAAATACTTGTAATGTTGTCTTAATGAAAGCCAAAGTGTCCGACCTTGAAGTATTTCCATCTGTTATCGGTTGAATCAGCGGGAATGGGTTCGGGTTTCTTCATAAGCTGGTTGTTGAGATTTAGAATTGCCCGTAAGACTCGGTGAAACAACCTATAAATGGTCTCAGAAGAGCGGCGAAAATCCACTGCTAAACTAAGCATTTTGTTGTTATGTGATATAGCCAGTAGAAAGATGAGAACCATTTCATCTACTTCAGCGTTTGGGTCCTTTTCAGCCCACCATCCGAAACTAAAAGGTCACATAGCTTCTTGAATAAACTACGTTTCATCCTAATCTTCTTGTGACTCTCGACATCACTGAATTCGGTACATTTGTCAATCACCCTTTGCCTATCGTACTGACGCATCATGTAACTATCTAAGGGCTGCCTACCAATTCCGGGATTACGAATTAGCATCTCTGTAAGTTCCATCACCTCCATTCCTAAATTGACATAAATCATTACAAGGTTCCAAAATGCACTAATAGCAACAATCACTTTGCGCCTTTCCGTGGCAGACATCGTGGAAAGCCGGGACATCCTTTATCAAAAATAGAAATTGAATTAAAAACACATACTAACAACAACATACTAACAACAACTAAGCTTTGGGGCTTGCCCGCCATATGCAGTAGCACACATACAATCAAGCAAACTAACAAACAATAAAGTAAGCACAACACCAAAGCACAGAGAAGGAAGATATAATGGCGGCATTGGAATGGTAAATGGAATCAAACAACAATAAATTAATTCAATGAAGAGAAAGGGTATGGTCAGCAAGACAGCAACCGAGCACAAATAGCAGAGGCGCAGAGCATGCTTTGTTTGCCCATCTGGCCAAATAGAACTGATGGGAGAAGAAGCCACAAACCAACAGTGCAAACATGGCTCCGTCCCAACCTGGCTCTGGCGAGGAATGATGTTCTACGCAGATAACCCACAAGCAACAGTACAAACAGATGGGAGAAGAAGCCGACAGCAAGCAAAAACCCAACAAAACCCTAAATATCCAGATTGTAACCCGAAGAAGAGCAACTAACCTGAAAAGGCTTGACCTAGCAGACCCAACGTCTCTGCTACTCGACCGTCGGACTGCTGCTTCGTTGCCGCCGATGTGGTCGCTTCAGATGCCCACACGCTCGTTGAACTTCCTTTCTTCTGTTGAGAGTGACGACAGACAAATGGGTTGATGGATAGGTTAATAGAATGAGGAGGGTAAAGTAGGATTAATACAAAAAGAGCATGGGCATTTATGGAACAAAATGTCCAAATATTGTGGGATTTTAAAATAGCTGATGACCATCAGCTATTTCATAATCCCACAATTGTGGGTTTCTGAAATCTCTAATATTTAAAATCTTTTATCATATTATTGCTTTCCAAATGAGTGATTTTAATTAAAATCCCACACTATGTGAGATTGTGCCCAAATCCCACACCCAAAATCTGCATCCAAATGGCCCCATAATGAATACATTGGGTTCAAATAAAATTGCCATGGACCACCAAACTATTTGTTAAGTAAGGATTCTGTTCGATGATTTCTTTGTACGGCTCGACCAGATTTTGTGGCGAACGAAGAAAGAGCGAAAGGATTCTGTAGGAGAAAAAGAAGCTCTTGACCTCTTTGTCTTTCTGATACGCGCAGTCCGTTGCCTTACCTTTTCACCTCACTGCGCTGCCTGATAGTCATAGTGGATAGAGAGAGACAGAGAGAGGTTGTTGTTGAGGCATTCAATTCAGTTGAACAGCTACTTTGGCGTGTCCTTCTTTCTTCTTCACGCCAATGGCGACCCCCTCATCTCCGGCTTAGGCTGCTGCCCCTCTCTTTTCCCCTCAAGTTAGTTACTCTTTGAGCGCCTCTTCTTCTGGTTTCCCCATCCAATGGCCGACCGGATCAACCCACTGAAGAGAAGCTTCGGCGACATGATCACTCCAACTCCAAACCCCCACGTAGGTTCCGCGCCGGACGTTCCAAATACCTCAGCCGGCGAAAACCCGGCCAGCCAACTGCCGGTTCGATTCCTTACACCCAGAAGGTTTCCCCCTTTCTTACCTCCGATTAATCTCTCCTTTTTGCTTATATCTGGCTGTTTGAGCTTCTCTCATTCTATTAACCTGGCTGGGGGTGTTGTGTTTTGCCGCCAAAAAAAAGTTACCAATTCGATGTTTATGAGGTGGCTAAGCGGCGGAACACAATAGCTGTGCTGGATACGGGTGCGGGGAAGACTATGATAGCAGTGATGTTAATAAGGCACATTGGTCAGTCTATCAAGTCCTCTGGCCACAGGAAATTGATTGTGTTTCTGGCACCTACAGTCCACCTTGCAAACCAGGCATCTTCTCCTCTTTTCTTCTTTTGGCCCCTCAATTGATACTGTTCATTGGTCTAAGCCAATTAACTCACTCACTCTTTTAAGTATTTTTGGGTCATTGCAGCAATGTGAGGTGATCAAAGATCAGACCGGCTTTGAAGTGGAAGTTTACTATGGCGCCAAGGGGGTGGATGAGTGGAACTTAACTCAGTGGCAGAAGGAAATTGATGAACGTGATGTATGTTTTTTTCCCTTTTCGAACTGCCAGATATGCATTTCCCTCTTTTCTATTAGTTTTCCTTTTAGCACCCTGATACTGGCATTTGCTTCTCTCTTTGTAAAGCTGCATGGCTAATTTGGTTGTCACGTTATTGTAAAATTTGAAATGGTTGCACGTTATGACCATTGAATTGGCCTCACGTGTTATTCTCCGTGTTTAAAATTTGGGCCATTGTACATTTAGATTATTGTTTGGATAGTGTATTGTTGACATGGTTTTCTGTCTTGTGTTGATTTGTTTGACCCTTTGATGTTATTTTCTGCAGTCAATTGATTGTCAACAATCTTCAGTTCCGTAAGATCGTGTTGTTTGGTATTGTGATTGCTGTAAATCCTGACAGACTCTGGGTTTGGCTTGCTAGGTATTGGTGATGACACCACAAATCCTCTTGGATGCATTAAGAAAGGCATTCTTGAATATGGAACTGATAGCCTTAATGATAATCGATGAATGTCATCGTGCTACAGGAAATCATCCATATTCAAAGATAATGAAGGTTGGTCTCCTGGTTCTTCACTTGGTCTTTTTGGGACCATTTTCTTTGTTTTTATATGTTGCAGCTTGCAACTATTGTTATATAAGGAGAAGCTGTTTTTTTTTTTAATAATGATGGTTATTGTTCTTGTTGTCATTTCAAGGAGTTCTACATGAACAGCAATGCTAAGCCAAAGGTGTTTGGTATGACAGCCTCACCTGTTGCAAAAAAGGGTATGTATCTGTGAAGAGGAATGAAATCTGTTCTTATGGGGTCAATTCCATCAAGGGATTATGCGGAAGACAGGCAGCTTCACTAATTCTCTAATATTGTGAACCGTGTTGAGAAAAACAAAACTTTTCAACTTATGAAAATCCTGGCCATGGAAATCTCATGTTCAATGCCGTTGAACTTGCTCGTTGTTGTTTTGACTTTGCCCTCAAAAATCATATCTTGCCTTGGCTTTCTTTGTGGAGAGGTCAGAAAACAATTAAAGTGCATTTTGTATCCATGTTGTCTAGGTGTGTCTTCTCCGCTTGATTGTGAAGATCAGATGTCAGAACTTGAGAGAATATTGGATTCTCAGGTACTTTAGGATTTAGAACTTTATCATCTTGTTACGTTTCATTGCTGATTCAACTCATACTACACGAATATCTTTGCAGATCTACAGTATAAAAAATAGAGCAGAAATGGAAGATTATGTCCCCTCTGCAAAGGAAACCTGTAAATTCTACGATAAACCTAGGTTTAATGCTTCGGATCTTAAAGCTAGGATTGGAGCATCTTGGTCTAAGGTATTCTTTAAGCTGAGTATCATGTAAACCTGCTGGTCATGCACCGGATAAGTGCTTCCACTTATGTGTTGTTGGATTGTTTATCTGGTCTGTTACTTAGTACTTTTGTTTGTCTAAACAGTTTGATACTGCCATCATGGATTTGCAAGGGTCATTAGATACTGGTTACAAAGATATGGAGGATAGGGCCAAGGAACTGAGAAAGCGATTGTCTAGTGACCATTCAAAGATTGTGAGCTGCCTTGTCGATCTTGGCCTTAAATGTGCTTATGAGGTATGATTGCATACGGACATGCAAATAGAGGGATCATCCTAGAGATTTTCTTAATATGTAAGAAGTTTGGTAGTCGTATCTGCTAACTTCAATCTTATAGCATGAATTGATGGGTTGCAACTTCGCTTTTGAACTTTTAGGAATTACATGAATATGGTCAACTATCGTATGGAAATTGTGCACGAACTTCTAGATTTCTGATATTAGGAGCAACATTCTTAGTGATGGCTGTTAAGGTGAAATAACTGTCAAGAACCAGTTGATCCCAATAACTCGAGTTGTTGGGAGAGATTCAATCGTGGATCATATATAACAACACTAACAATAACACAAGACAGTTTTTAACCCACATATGGCTGTTAATTACATATTGCATTCAGTTTTGGCTAAATCACCGACTTGAAATTATTGGTGCAGTCTCTTAGGGGCCGTTTGGATTCTATGATTGTTTTAGTGCGATCGGTACATTGCTTGCATTCCTTAGAATACATCTTTTCATGCACGCATAATACATGTATTATTTGTTTGATGTGACAAACAATAATGCAAAAGGAATGATTGTACAATCTCTACTTTTGTCTCTCTTTCTTAACTTTTTCCTTTTAACAAGTAATTTCTTCATTGAAAAGAAGGGGTACTAGTGTTATTTTCATTGAAAGTGACTTTCATTTTTAATTATTGAAAACACAATCACCCATACCAAACATTGTCATCTACAATACACTAAATTCATCAATACATTTGTTGACCACAATACATCAATTTAACAAAATGAGAAGCCAAACGACCCTACTTATTTTTCTCTTGTGAATGCCTTTGGCATGATCTTATATACATTTGAGGGTTATTATAGATATTCATTGGAGGTGACAAATAAATTGGATCTATGGATTGGTCGATTGGATTTGTAGATTCATGGATTGGTGGATTGGATCATGGATCCAAGTTACATCTAAACATTAGACCAATATGTAATTTTTAAAAAGTTGGAGGTAGGTTTTCTGCCATTTTTTTAATGCTTATTCCGTAAGCATATCCTCTCATATTTCTCAAAGCTCCTAACTTGCATTACCTTATTGTAGGCTGTCGAAGTTTGTCTCCAGAAATCTCCTAAGTCCTACGAGGAATGTGAAATGTATAGAGAAATTTCTCTGCAGCGCAAATACTTCCTTGAGGAAGTGGCATCCATGATAAGAAACTCTTTGCCACTGGGTATCTGATCTTTGACATTAAGTTGAAACGTTTGTCTTTCCTTTTCGTTCCCCCTTCTGGTTGCAGCTTATTAGCCAGTGATAAATCCCCTTAAAATGGATTTAAATATTGTCTCTCTCCTTCATGTAATTAGTTTATTCAGACCGACTTTAGTTAATTTCTTCATGGCTATATATATATCTTGCCTTTTCTGCACCATTTTAACCCTCTGCACTTTCTATTAGCCATGAACCGACTGCTGATTGCTATTTTCTCTTTCTTTTTTGTTAGAATACCGCCAAATTAAATGCTTCGTAATTTATAAAAAAAAAAACTTCCCAAGTGGAAATATCAACTAGTACCACCCAGTCTCCTACTAAAGCATTCCTAGGGAGGTTCAATCTTGTTTTGTGAGATGGATTTTATTAACAGAATCTTGTTTTTCTCGGAGTACCATAGACCATTTGTTTGGTTTGTTCAGTGCGTACCTAGTTGTTTGTAAAAATAAAATGCATATAACTGTGAGCACTGGTAAACATTGTCTATTATTTTTGGTAGAGTAAACACTGTCAATTGATGGAACTTTGGTCTGCTCTGATGGGTGTATGTGTTGTGTCTCTTGCTTTGGACTTTGGTCCAATACTATAGAAATAATACAAGCATGGTCTGGTTCTTGTTGTTTCCTTGTTATCTGATGCTTATAGCAATAATATTTCCTTTACTCAGGTGATGATTATGTGTTGGATCCTGCGCTTGACTATTTGAAGGCAGTGGATTCAGGTTACATGTCTCCAAAACTATATGAACTTCTTCAACTTTTCCTATCTTTTGGGTAATCAGAGCATTTCTCTTCTCCACTTATTTTTAAAATATCTCAGAAATAGGATTGATTTGGTATGTTGCTTCCTTTCAGGAAAGCTAAAGAGGTATTGTGCCTCATTTTTGTTGAGAGAATAATAACAGCTAAAGTAATTCAGAGATTTGTGAAGAAAATATCAGTTTTGGAGCACTTTGCAGTTTCTTATCTAACTGGAACCAACACATCTGTTGATGCGCTGGCGCCTAAACTGCAGAGAGAAGTCTTAGAATCATTTCGCTCGGGCAAGGTATTTGATATTTTGTGTTCCTCCTACAATGTGACTTATGTTTTAATTGCTGAAAGTCCACTTGTTTCCGAAGGTCAATCTATTATTTGCCACTGATGTGGTGGAGGAGGGGATTCATGTGCCAAACTGCTCCTGTGTCATACGGTTTGACCTTCCTAAGACGGTCCGCAGTTATGTTCAATCTCGGGGAAGAGCTCGTCAACGTAATTCCGTGTTTGTCACTATGCTTGAGAGGTTAAAGTCTCCTTAGCTGAAACACTTAACATTTGTGTCGTTAATGTTTATGTGCTACTCAAGAATGCAAGTTTTCTCTATTGTCTCTAGAATTCCTAATTTTTTATACTAAAAGAAACTGATACAGTATTATCCCCAGGGGAAATGAGAAACAGAGGGATCAACTATTTGATGTCATCAGAAGTGACTGGTCCATGAGAGATACTGCCAGTAACAGAGACCCTGAAATGTGGACTCCAAAAGCTTGTCTTCTGGACGAATTAGAGATTTATATTGTTGATAGAACTGGGGCATCAGTTACGGCTGACTCAAGTATTAGCCTCTTGTATAAGTACTGTGAAAAGCTTCCTGGTGATAGGTATTTGTACCTTCCCTCTGCCTGGTGATACTTTCTGCAGCATATATTAGTGTTAGTTTGGATGTCAGTCTTATTCAGCTAGTGTGTTACCTCAGGTACTACACGCCAAGGCCAGCTTTTGAATTTAAGCTTCTTGATAAAGCTTACCAGTGTAACATAAAGTTACCTCCTAGTGCCATTTTCCATACCCTAGCTGGTCCTGTATGTAGGAATCAACAATTAGCAAAGCAGCTCGCTTGCTTGGAAGCTTGCAAGAAGCTGCATCAGATGGGTGCTTTAGACGAGCATCTTCAACCAGTGTCTGATGAGCCTTCAGGAAAAGATCTCATGTTGAAAAGCAAAGAAGCATCTGCAGGCGCAGGTATGACTGTGTTCTTTGTGTTGACTTGCAATATGAAAAGCCTATGTGCTCTATCCAATCCCAAAAGCTCTCACAATCAAGCCTTTAATGTCAACAAGGAGTCTTTATATGCTAATTAGTGCACAGGCTGTAGTAGGTAGTCTTGGATAGGAAAATCATGAAGGGAAAGCTGTTTGCATGTATATTTGAACAATTTGATACCTTTCTTAAGAATGCTAAGCTTTATGAATGTCTTTTGATTGTTGAGATTCTTGGAACTTGTGAATCACAATATATTCAATGAACATTTAGTTGGACACAGTTAAGTGAATGCAACACGACTGATTGACTGAATTCTGAAGGCAATGCTCCTGGGAAATCCCCTGTAGTTTACATTTCACAATATTTGTAAGTCTTATAGACAAATGGTTTTTAGTGTTATCTTTAATCATGTAATCGCATCTTAATGTTTTGTCCCTCTCTCATGAAGGGACTACGAAGAGGAAGGAGTTGCACGGGTCGGTTCGCATCCGTGCATTATCAGGCAGTTGGGGAGACAAACTTGATGGAGTTACGTTCCATGCCTACAAGTTTGACTTCTCCTGTAATGTTCCAAGCCACATTTATTCCAGTTTTGTTCTTCTGATTGAAGCAAAGCTTCATGAGGATGTAGGAAACATTGAGCTCGAGCTTTATTTAGTTGGAAAGAAGGTTAATGCTTCTATTTCTTCATGCGGGGAGCTGCATTTGGACAGTGAACAGGTACTGTATTCTACAGATGTATGTGCGTCTTTAGTATTCTAATTCTGTAATCTTTTGGCCCAACTGATGAAACAGATCTCCTTATCTCATCAGGTGATAAACGCCAAGTGTTTTCAAGAACTTTTTTTCAATGGTTTGTTTGGAAGGTTGTTCACTGGATCCAAGGCTGCACGGAAGTTTTTACTTTCAGAAGACACAACACTTTGGAATCAGTCATATATGTATCTCCTTCTGCCGCTTGAAACCTCGTGTACCTCAAGTGCAGACTCTTGGTCGATAAATTGGACAGGGATATGCGATTCCGCTTCTGCTGTTGCATTTATGAAGAACATCTCTGTGTTTGCTTGCGAGGGTGATAGAATAGACCAATCAGCTCATACATCTGGGTCATCTGTTCAAGAACCCAATGACTCCCTTATGATTAATTTTGCTAATGGTTCAGCCAATATCAATGATGTGAATGAAATGGTTGTATTAGCAATTCATACAGGGAGAATATATTCAATTGTTGAAGCCGTTAGTGACATGTCTGGAGAGAGTCCTTTTGATGGAAATTCTGATGATGCTCCAGCAAAGTACTCTACATTTGCTGAATACTACACTAAGAAGTAAGTGTGCTTGGTTCTTAAAAGTGTGTTTGTCTCATTGTATCTTCTTCATTCAATTTTTGTCTCTCTTTTTTTATTTTATTTTTGGCATTGCAACATGTAGTTTATTCACCTTAGCTTCACAGATATGGGATCGTGCTCAAGCATCCGAGACAGCCTATGTTGCGTTTAAAGCAAAATCACAATCCACATAACCTTCTTGTGGACTTCAATGATGAAGGTATGTTGAGCTGAATCTTCAAGCCTCGTCATAGTAGATAAATCCCCATATGTATCCCGTAGTTGCAACTACTAGCATGTTGTTTCATTCATTTAAAAAGAAGTAAAAAATCATAAGAAGATTTCAGTGGGAAAGAGAACTAAATTCGTTGTCAATTAAAATTTGTGGCCATTATAAGAATTTGAAATTCATCTTTACTAAATGGATTCATGCATGGACCCAACAACGTTATCAAGATGGACTTAGAAGTTCAGTGCCACTACTTGGCTGTGTATTATATGATTTTTTTTAATGAGTAGGTGCAAAGAAACGCAGCAGCATTGTGGGCAAACAGCGCCAGTATGCTCATCTGCCTCCTGAGGTTCTAATCAGGATTAATATTCCGGTCTCTGTTTTAAAAGCAATGTACTTGCTTCCATCTATCATGCACCGTCTTGAGTCACTGATGTTAGCAAGTCAACTTAGACAAGACATTGGTTGCTCTGTGGCGAACTTTCACATCTCCAGCTCTCTGGTTTGTGATATCAAAATTCACATGGTTGATTCAGTCAACTCAGGATAATTTCAAGTACTAAAACAATCCTTGTGGCTGATAACTATTTTATTCTTCTTTTCTTTTGATTGTTATTACTTAGATTCTAGAAGCAATATCAACAAGAAGATGTTGTGAGAATTTCTCTTTAGAGCGATTGGAGTTGCTAGGAGATTCTGTTTTGAAGTATACCGTGGGCTGTCACTTCTTTTTAAAACACCCTGGTCGACATGAAGGTCAATTATCTTCTCTTCGCTCTTATGAGGTCTGCAATTCAACACTACGGAAACATGGAACCGATTGCAGAATACAGGTGATGTTATACGAGCTTAACCTGCTCCAAGCATATTCTTAGCTTTCGAAAAATATGCATGTGGAGCTCTTGCCATTCAATTATGGGAGTCTCTAGTACATTAACGCAGGTCACTTGCAACACTTGGTTTGGCAGGAATATATACGAGATGGTCCTTTTGACCCGCGTCGTTGGGTTGCTCCAGGACAAAAATCCATACGCCCAGTACCTTGCAATTGTGGCATTAATACTTTAGAAGTGCCACTGGATGATTCCAAATTTCAGACTGTGGATCCTAACATCAAAGTCGGAATCACTTGTGACATGGGTCATAGATGGATGGGCTCCAAAACTGTCTCCGACAGTGTTGAAGCTCTTATAGGTGCTTACTATGTGGCTGGTGGACTGGTGGCTGCACTTCATGTGATGAATTGGATTGGTATTGAAGTGGAACTTGATCCTTCATGTGTTTCTCAAGCCATTGCCAGTGCCTCTTTGAGGACTTATATTCCAAATGATGATGAGGTTGAAAGCCTTGAATCAAAGTTGGGTTATGCATTCACCGAGAAGTTTATGTTACTGGAAGCAATCACACATCCATCTATGCAAGAGCAGGGAGTGAACTATTGCTATCAGGTAGTGGAAATTCTATATACCTCTATTGTTTGCACTTATTGTTTAAGTAGTCTTCGTTGTTTGTTTGTGTGTGTGTATTAGTCGTTTTGTCTCAAAACCCTAATGGTGATCTGCTTGATACGCAGAGACTTGAATATCTGGGTGACTCAGTTTTGGATTTGCTGATCACAAGGCATCTTTATGAAAACCACAAAAACCTTGATCCTGGCGAGTTGACGGACCTACGTTCAGCTTCTGTCAACAATGAGAGTTTTGCTCAAGCTTGTGTGAAACATAACCTCCATATCCATCTTCGTCACTGTTCCACATTACTCCTAAGTCAAATAACTGAATACCTCAAGTCTTCTAATGGATCAATAGAAGCACCAAGTTTAACTGCTAGCACAAAGGGTCCCAAGGTAAAATTTTCGTTCTAACGGGCTGATTTTAAGCAAAAGTTTTAACAATCTGTCCCTTCACACCTTTTTTATTATATTGCTATACCTATACAGGCTCTTGGAGACCTAGTGGAGAGTATTGCTGGGGCAGTTTTGGTCGATACTGGGCTCAATTATGAGGAGGTTTGGAGAATATTTGAGCCTCTGCTATCTCCAATTGTAACTCCTGAAAAACTTGAGCTGGCTCCATATCGCGAGTTGATAGAATTCTGTGGCTCTCTGGGATATTTTACAAAGGAGGAATGTGTGAGTAAAGGGGAAATGGTGCATGCTACACTTACCTTGCAGCTGGATGATGTCCTCTTGGTTGGGGAAGGGTTTGATCAGAAGAAAAAGCATGCCAAAGGGAAAGCAGCTTCCCACTTGTTAAAACAGCTTGAGGTTTGATTGACATACTCTGCTTGGCCATCATTTTGTTTATATTTCACCACGAATTCTAAACTAATGACGGCTTTGGTAGAGATATAATCTGTGGTTTTCGTGCAAATGGAGCAGCATTATCATCTTCTGTCAGGCTTATTTGATTTCTTCAACTAAGCTGATTTTGGAACTCTCTAACAGAAAAGAGGGTACTCCAGGAGCGGTGCGAAGAAAAGGAAGCATGGGACTGACTGTGTTTCTGCATCCCCTCCCGAGAGCTTGGAGAAGGGAGATGTCAACGTGACAACCAAGGTGAAAATACAGAAGACTGAGGAAAATGATATGCTTGCACTGCCAGATAGAGCTCCTTCCATTTTGAGCAGTAGTACAAGGGAAACCCCAGGTATGCATGCTACTGTATGGATTGAATACTCAAAGCCATGGTAGCTTTGATCCTATCTGATAGCTCTCTTCCATATTAAATCAGTCTATTAGCGTAGGCACTTGTAGATGTGAGGAACGAAAAATGGAATTGTAGTTGTCTAGCCCTTGGATCATGAAATTGACATTGGTGTAGCTTGTGTTGAAAACCCATAGAGGTGGCAAGTGGGATGGGTTTAGATTGGCGTTTTTTTTTTTGTGGACTTTTGATATGGTTTGAGGAAAATTCTTTTATCTGTCATGTAAATTGGCGGTGGGATCACTCTTGGATCTAACTGCCTTTCTGCTCCCTTTTTGACTTGCACAGTTATCGAATCAATAAACATGAAGAAAGGAGGACCTCGGATCACTCTGTTTGAGCTGTGCAAGAAAGTCCAGTGGCCAATGCCTACGTTCGAAACTAGCGAACATAAGTCCAGGTTTTCCTCTCAGATCTTCCCTTTTTTCTTTTTTCTGCAAATGAACGCCAACATACGAAACATCCCATGTTCGTGCTTGCCACTGTATTTCAAATGTACAATTCCCTCTTCTATGTACGCTCACTTGATTCAGTCCTTCCCACGGCAGATCACCCATGGAAGTCGATGATATTGGTGGTAAAAGAACAGCTTTCAACACTTTTACAACTAAAATCAAGTTGAATATACCTTGGTTCGGTATCATTGAGTGCGACGGGGAAGCCAGAGCTGATAAAAAGAGTGCTTATGACTCGGCAGCTCTGGCCATGCTCAATGTGCTTCAAGCGAAGAGTCAATTGATCATCACTAACAAATAAAGGTATGGCGATACTATGTAACTGGGGGCTTGTTGGTGCAGCATGTATATTCTAGCGAAGGAAGGTTTGCCAGTCTCTGTAATCTATTGTCCATTATGTGTACACAACTACGGAACGAGCAAAGGCCTATCAGACTGAGTACCATTAACTGCTGTACTATGACAACCGTCAGGTTCCGAATTCAGAATAAAATGCATAATTAGCTGTCATTTTCTTGACATTTTCACTCATTTTTACGAAGACAAGCTGGCTTACGGTTAGGTAGCTGAGGAAAATCAGAGAAGAACTGATGGAGGGAAAGGTAAAGATAATATAGAACCAGCCATCAGCAATGTGGGATCAGCTTGCTACCAGAGAGGGAAAATGATAATGAAGGATAGGAGGCCTTGTAGCTTATTAAGCCTAATTAAAAGCTCGTACACATTATTATTTATTACTAGTGTTGTCCCCGCTAACACGTTTTAACATCGCAAAACTCCGGTGACTCCCTCACAAGTTTATACGTTTAAATTTCATGCAACCAAGATCTGCTGCTCCATTACTGCTGTAGACAGATCGAAGCTGGTCACCGTGTCCCGAGTCTGTGTGAATTGCAACCTCTATTGCTGCAACAGTCATATTCTCCTGCAACAGAAATGTTCAAATGTCAGACACTCCACCCACTGTTATTGTTCTCATATTTTAAAGTGTTTCAAGCACTGTCAAAGTGTGTGTTTTGAATACCGTACTTGGCAAAACACATAGATGTGATCCAGAACCTGTAGACAAGTAAAGCCAGTCACTGAAAAAAGTTTTCGAACTTGGCCCCATCTTAGAAAACCAACCGACCGGGAATAGGATAGTGCAATGTTCAAGAAGACGTTGGGCGTCAACTAGGCGGGGAGGCACCGCCCAGCGCCCAGGGCGATTAATCGTCGCCTAGGCGAGATTAAATGTGGAAAAAAATTTGACCTAAAAAGCCCTTAATCCACCATACTCATGCCTACAAATCTCAATCCAACATACTATTACCCCTTTTCCACATAAATCAGCAACATATCCTACTACCCTTTATCATTAATCAATTGTTCATCATTCATCAACCCACCAAACGAGAGCGGTAAGGACGAGTGAGTCACTGTAACAAACCGGGATATGAAAAGGGGTTAGTTGTAAGTAGGATAAGTATGGGGACTACGATGGATATTGTGTAAACAACTACAAAAGTTTCTCTACGGAACTGTAAGAAAGAATAAGAAATAACAGAACATTTTCCCAACCTCTTCTGTCTCCTCTTCGTCTTCCACATCTGCTCTCCTTCTGAATTCCCTCCTTCCCTCTGATTCTTCCTCTCTAGTCTTCTTCTTCTTCTTCTTCTTCTCAGATTCTATACTTCTTCTCTTCAATTCAAACTTCACAGACTCATACTTCGTCGGAATCGATCCTTTGCCAACTCAATCGTCACAGTCACAAACCTTCTCCAACTAGATGATGGCGATCGGCGACGACAGCTATGGAGATCGGCGACGATAGTTATGGAGGAAGACTTTGCGATGGCGGCGAGGACGAGGCGCACCACGATGGCGGCGAGGAAGAAGCGCAATTAATGCTTGCGACGATGACCCTGTTGCGATGTTGGAGACGGCAGCGGCGGTTTGCTGGAGAGGAGAGACGATGGCGGCGGTTGGCTAGAGAGGAGGGAAAGCTACGACGGTTACTGTGCAGGAGGGAGAGTTGCTCGTCTGCTACCCGATTGGAAATGAAAGGGATTAGGGTTTTTTGGGGCCAAACGCAGCAGCATCTCCTCCCCCTTCTCTTGTTCAGGGGCGCCGCCCAACGGCAAGGAATCGCGACTTCGAGCTACTAGTCGTCGTCTCGGCGTTTTTCAACGCGATTCTGCGTTTTGCACGCTCAGCCACTTCGCCCAGGGCTAGACTCCACGATTTCCCCTTGCCCAGCGCCTAATCGCGCCTAGGCGCACGCTAGGCGCGTCTTCTTGAACACTGGGATAGTGAGGAAAGGGATGCAGAAAATGAGTTCAGTTTTCTCCCTAGAACACAAGGAAAACAAAGGGTAGGAACACAACAGAAAATGTGATGACGTCATCAAGACCAAGTCTGCTCAAGAGGAAGAAGGCCCAATGGCTGGTGCAAAAGCTAAGCCTTTAAGAAAGTAAACTGGAAGTTATTTGAGTGCACAATTGCAGGATATGGACGTGGAGTTGCATGGAGGAGAGCCCATTACATTACTACAATTTGTGAATCAAATTCAAGAGAAGATTCGTCTTAAGATGATTTTCCCATGGTGTGAATGGAACCATAAGTGTGAACACAAGGGGGCAGATTTGAACGCATGGATTAAGGGGGATTTTGACTTTGTCTTTTCTTGCTTGTTAAGGTTTCTTTATCTTTTTTAGAGTAGGATTTTATGATCCTTTGTAGTTTGGTTTTTGGGTTCTTAATCCTATTTAAGGGGTCTAACCATTATAATGGATTCATCCAAACCTTTGTAAACGTTTGCATAAATTCCCTTCGAGGATTCAAGGGTTTGAGTGTCTCTTATCAACTAGATGATCACATCTAGTAGATGCGAGTTCGACTAGGGTCATATTCAAGAAAGGAGAAAACCCCAAAAGAGTTTGACGTTGTGCAATTTGGGTGTTTTGGTCCAAATTTGAGGTTCTCTTCAAATTCTTGGAGTTCTTGACGTATCCTTGAAGCTTCTTTGTCGAGTTCTTAAGGATCTTGACATGTTCGTGATAGTTCTTGGCCAAGTGGAAGATTCTTGAATCTTTGCGACTTGCGAGGAAGTCTTGGAGAGTTCTTGAGGCGTTCTTGTTATTTTAAGGCGATAAGTTGTTTCCTGTGCCACAAGTATGGGAGACGAGATGAAGACACTTACATATCAGATTCAACCTTACTTCAAGCACACACCAACAACCAAGTTCAAATGCAAGCGGCGGTACAAGCTCAAACCGCAAGGATAGATGAGTGGGAAGCAAGAATACTAGCGCCACAACCGCAACCCCACGAGCAAGAGGAACCCCAACCTCAACATGCCGAGAACGCCTACCCTAACCCTAGGGATCGACGAGAAGAAGGAAGGGGATGTCTAGCCATACAATGAGCTTTGATTGAGCATATATGATGACATCAACCCTTGGGAGGGCAGCAGGTTGCAAGAAAGAACTTTCAACCATCCCATGACGAAGAAGGTTATGAGGTGTTCAACAATGATGGAGTTTCCTATCAACTAGAGATGATGATTTACGAGGAATTAAGGTGACCATCCCATCGTTTAGAGAAATGATTGACCCGTATACTTACCTAGATTGGGAATGCAAGATGGAACTGATTTTTTATTGTCATCGTTATTCGGAGAAAAGAAAGGTAACTCTAGCCTCTCTCGAATTTACGAATTGTGCATTAGTTTGGTGGGATCAATTGTGCACACAAAGGAGAAGAGATAGGCGCAGACCTATTGAGATGAGGGATGATATGAAGGCATTATGCGAGATCGATTTGTGCCAACCAATCATCAATGTGAGATGCACCAAACATTGCAAATTCTCTAACAAGGCAAAAAAAGTGTTTGAAGATTATTATTGAGAGATGGAGATGTTGATGATTCGAGCAAATGTTCGTGAAGATAGGGAGGCTACCATAGCTCGATTTCTATTTGGGCTTAATCGAGAGATTTGAAGCATTATGGAGATCCAACCATTCGTTGAGCTTGGAGATTTGGTGGCTATGGCAAGTAAAGTGGAGAGGCAATAGAAGAGTCGAAGGTTCTTACCTTATACAAGCACCACGAGGCATGTTCCAACTCCTAACACGAACCCTAAGTTGAGTGTCGCTCCAAAAGAAGTACTGAAACTCGGGCCAAAGTTGAAGCTCCAAACCTTAGCACCAAACATAGAGCATCATTTGGTGGGATTCAATGTTTTAAGTGTCATGGGCGTGGGCATATTGCAAGCCAATGTCCCAACAAAAGGACATTGATTATGTTAGAGAATGCTGAATATGTATCCGAATATGGAGAAGAAGCACATGAAGAGAATGACACACCAGATTCTGAGATTGGTGAGACTCTAGAGATGGAAGCACAGCCATGCAAGTTGTGTGTGGCTTGAAGGTTATTGAACATCCAACCAAAGGAAGAACTTGAGAAAAGAGAGAACCTCTTCCATAAGAGGTGTGTAGTAGATGGGAAGCTACTTTCAGTTGTGATTGATGGAGAAAGTTGCACAAACATGGTGAGTGTGAGTTGTGTGAAGAAGTTGGGGTTGAAGATATTGATTCATTCAAAACCATACACTCTTTAATTGGTCAATAAAGATGGCTCGATTAATGTGGCAAAGCAAGCTTTACTTAAGTTTGTAATTGAGAAATACAAGGATGAGGTAACGTGTGATGTGATACACATGCAAGTGACTCGCACGAAACTACGCCACAAATTAATCCCTACTAGAGCCCAAGTTTTTAAACTCTAGCCGGGTGCAGTATAGAGCAAGTATTTAAATTGTCAACCCAGGCCGATCCATGTACCCCTACTTCAATCGCTTAGGTTGTTATCTAGCAAACAACTTAGGGTTTAGGTTTATTGGAACTACAACTAACCAAGCAAAGAAAAGAAAAGTAAATAAAGGAAGATTCTAACTAAGGGAGCTCCACCCGTGAATTGCTTCCCCCCTAACTAGCTACCAAGACTCGTTGGATTGAATGAAGTCGTGAGACGTAGGTGGTTGTGAACCTCGGGGGTGAGAAACTAGTGATCAATCTGTCATGGCATCAATTCACTAGCGATCGATTTGTCACGGGATCGATCCACTCACCAGATCTAAGGGAACCGCTAGGAGGAGCAACTAGTGATCCATTTGTCACGGGATGGATTCACTTGAGGTCGATTTGTCACGGGATCGATCCTCTCACTCAGTCACTAGTGGTTTCCTAGGTCTCTCCTTCAAATTGGAGTTTGAGCGGCTTAATCACAACCAACCTAGATGGGCAAGATAATCACGAACCGCAGAGGGATATATATGTGGTCGGAGACCACAATCTAAATTTCTAAACCGAGGTAAGGATGAAAGGCTGTGTCACTCGACCCTCTCGGTTTAGACAATCGGTAATTGACTTACTCCCTCACTCAACTCTAAGGTCGGACGGCTTAATCACGATTAATCAATTTGCTTAACTCAACATTGAGGGTTTCCCTAGCTTAACCTAGTTTAGGTGGCTTAGAAAGCGGAAGGAAAACCAACTCGATTAAGTCTCCCTTGGAAGGGGGATTTTCCTCTCCAAGCTAGGCTAAGGTGGCTAATTAGATTGGTAGCACCTACATGCACAAACCTAAGGGTGCTAAGCACATTACATGCAAATCCCTTAGATTGCTAAGCACGAGCATGCACAATCACCATGAAAACACCTCTAATACTCAAATTGATGCAAACCCACAGCTAATCATTCAATCTAAACAAGTAATTACAAAGTATTAGTTAGGCTTGAATCTTCCACCCAAGCCTCCAATGATGCTCCAAGATCACTCTAACACTCTCTCTCTCTCACACTAGAACTCCCTTTTGGTGTTTAGGTTGAAACCCTAGAGAAAGAAAGTGGTTCTTCTCCAAAATCCAGCTCCCCTTTCTCTCTCCCCGCTGTTGTCTTCATATTTTCCCGAAAGTGACCAGTTCACGGACGCGTTGGCCATTTCACGGCCGTGAACACCTAAACGCGTCCGTGAACTCATCGTCGTCCAAAACGCGCCGCTTCACTCGCCGGGGTTCACGGTCAATGGCCCCAGTTCATGGTCTTAGAGACCGTGAACTGACTTGTTGTCAGTAACTTCACGAACCTCGCTGGACTGCTCGATGTTCACGGTTTGTGGTCCATGTTCACGGTCTTATGAGACCGTGAACTTCCTTGTCCGGCCGTGAACTGCGGCTGTTTCTTGGACGACTTCAATTCACTACTACGAGGCAATTGTCACGGTCTAGCGACCGTTTCAAAATTTTCTTCGGCTTTTGCGCTTTTTGACCTCCAATTATCCTAAAACTCGTCCTCAATCCTTCCACACGTGCTAGGACATGAAATATATCAAAACAAGCACAACCTAGCATGAAATATGTCGAGGAACGATGAAATACTAAGCTAAACGAATAAGAAATGAGGGGTAAAATGTGTACATTTGAGCCCGAATCAGCAAACGACTCATGTTTTACTTGGAAGGCAGTGGCAATTCGATCGAAATGCACAACATGATGGATTCACCAATAAATACACGTTTTTGTATGAAGGGCACAAGTGGTATTGGAAGAGTTTGAAGATGTCTTTCCCGAGAAAGCTTCAAAGGGTTTACCTTCAACCTGCGGGATTGAACATCAAATTGACTTCGCCCCTAGACCCACCATCCCAAATAAGGTCATGAGATTACATGGGATCCCACATACCATTGTGTCTGATCGTGATGCAAAGTTCTTGAGATACTTTTGAAAGATGTTGTGGAGCAATCTTTGGACGAAACTCATGCTTTCGACGACTTGTCATCCTTAAACGGATGGACAACGTGAAATGGAATCGTACTCTATCCCAAATGCTGCGAGCTGTGATCAAAAGCAACATCAATGTTTGGGAAAACTTTCTACCACATGTTGATTTTGCTTACAATAGGGTCGTGCATTCAACGAAAAAAATACTCACCTTTTGAGCTCGTACATGACTTCAATCCTCTTACACCATTGGATATGACATTGTTACCTTTGAAGAAGCAAATCAACATGGATGGCGCAAAGAAGGCCGATTATATGAAGAGTCTCATTGAGAATGAACGATTGAACATTGAGAGGAGAACAAAGCATTATATGAAGAGTGTCAATGACAATAAGCATAGAATACCTCGACACTTTGAAGCAGGAGATTGGATATGGGTGCACTTGAGGAAGGAGAGGTTTCCACATCAAAGAAGATCCAAGTTGCTGCCAAGAAGTGAAAGTCCCTTTCAAGTGATTTCAAAGGTTGGAAGTAATACGCACAAGCTTCACCTACTAGAAGGTTATGGGATAAGCGCAACCTTAAACATTTATGATCTTGCACCATTTCTGGATGATGATTCGTATTTGAGGGAAAATTCTTTTCAAGAGGGAGGGACAGATGAGGTCATCAAGACCAAGTATGCTCAAGCGGAAGACCCAATGACTTGTGCAAAGGCTAAGGCTTTAAGGGAGAAAATTGCTGGTATTTGAGTCCACAATTAAAGGACATGAATGTGGAGTTGCATGGATGAATGCCCATTACATTACTACAATTTGTGGATCAAATTCGAGAGAAGATGGGTTTGGAAGAAGGTAAGGAAGATTATGCCTAAGATTAATTCCCTATGGTGTGAAAATAATAAAAGTGTGAAATGAACCATATGTGTGAACACAAGGGCGCGGATTTGAAGGCATGGATTAAGGAAGATTTTAATTTTGTCTTTTCTTGTTTGTTAAGGTTTCATTATTCTTTTTAGAGTAGGATTTTATGATCCTTTGTAGTTTGAATTTTG